CTCCACCGCCCCCGCTAGCTCCTCCAGTGCCCCTGCCCCCCTTGCCCTTGCCAGGGCGACGTCTCCCGCTAGGGGTAGACGCCGCACCGACCGACTCAAGCCCAACGAGGTCGGCCGCAGCAGCAGAGGCAACAGAGGGCAAAAGGGGGGAGGGGGAACACCCCTCAAAGATGGGGGTGCGAGGGTCACCACGAGAGGCTCCTACAGCGACTATGCTCTTCTCTGCTGCTAGGAGGGACTTCTCGAGGAGGTCAACGGTGAGAGTGGTGGGGCAAACGGAGAGGAAGTGGTCCCTGACTACGCGAAGGGAGTCAGGGAGCCGGGTGACTATGTAGTAGAGGGTGATGTACATGGGGGGGGGGTTCTTGGCGCAGAACTCAGCAGGAAGCGCAGCGCGGTAGCGAGTGTCACTAGTGCGGAGGTGCGTAATGAGGTCAGCGACTGTGGGAAAGGCAGCAAGGTCAGGGAAGAGGTACGGTAGCATGAGGCGGCTCAGTGCAGCAGTGGCAGGGGAGGAGTAGCGCGCAACTACAGCGTCGTACAAGGTCTGAGCACTCTTGTACTGGCTAAAGTGCGCACGCTCAGAGGTAGGCAGGTGGCGACGCACAGCAAGACGTGCAGCAGCATCGCGAGTGGCCCACTGTGAGCCTACAGTGGCGTCGGCATCAGCAGCAGGGGCAGGAGAGGCACCAGAGGTGAGGTCAAAGAGGGAGAGACCGTCTGCCCTATCGCACTGTAGGAAAAGCTGCAGGTCATCTACCCAGACGTCAAAGTCAATGGCCCGACCCTCAGCGTCAAAGGCGAGGATACTAGGGGTAGCCATGACAACAGTAGACTAGCAGCGCAAACAGTAGGGTGAGGGCAGTGCAGGGACAGAGGCGTTGCACTTACCGGACAGGGCGACTCGGGTGGCTCAGCTGCTCGGCGGCTCGGCAACTCGGCGGCTCGGGCGGCTCGGGCGGCTCGGCGGTACGGCGGCTCGGCAGCAAGCGCGGCTCGGCGACACGGCGGCTCGGGCGGCTCGGGCGGTACGGCGGCTCGGGCGGTACGGCGGCTCGGCAGGCCCGGGCGGCTCAGGTGGCGCGGCGAGGCCGCGTGGGGAGCGGCGGCGGGGCCGAGTGGAGCGGCGTCGGCGGGTGCAGTCAGCTGCGGCAGCAGCCGCGGCCCCGAGGGAGGTGGTGGCGGCTGCTGCTGGCGACGGCTGCGGCTGCTGCTGCAGGGACGGCGGCGGCCGCTGCGGTAGGGGCGGCGACAGTGGGCCGGAGAGGGCGGTGCGAGGGGCCGCGTCGCGAGGAGCCGCGGAGGGCGGCGACGGGCCGTGAAGGGGCGGCGCGAGGGGCCGCGGAGGGCGGCGACGGGCCGTGAAGGGGCGGCGCGAGGGGCCGCGGAGGGCGGCGACGAGTCGTAGGGGGGGGGCCGTAAGGCCGTGGGAGGGGCCGTAAGGGACGGCGCGAGGGGCCGTAAGGGGCCGTAAGGGGCCGCTGAGGGCGGTGCGAGGGGCCGACGGGCGGCGCGAGGGGCCGTAAGGGGCCGTAAGGGGCCGCGCGAGGGGCCGTAAGGGGCCGTAAGGGGCCGACGGGCGGCGCGAGGGGCCGTAAGGGGCCGTAAGGGGCCGTAAGGGGCCGCGCGAGGGGCCGTAAGGGGCCGTAAGGAGCCGACGGGCGGCACGAGGGGCCGCGCTAGGAGCCGTAAGGGGCCGTAAGGGGCCGACGGGCCGCGCTAGGGGCCGTAAGGGGCCGTAAGGGGCCGCGCTAGGGGCCGTAAGGGACGGCGCGAGGGGCCGTAAGGGGCCGCTAAGGGCGACGCGAGGGGCCGTGAGGGGTCGTGAGAGGGCGCGACTGTGGGAGCGAAGCGCGCTCCGGGCAGGAAAAAAAAAAAATTCGTGGTGGGCCCTAGGAAGCGTTCCCACTAGGGAACCTGCTCGATACCATGAGAAGAAACAAGGAATGAATGAACTATGAATGAATTGGGTACAAGTACTAACCCTAATTGGGTTGTACCCCTTATGGGCTACCCCACTATAGCCTACACAATATGCATGAGCTATAATGTTCTGACAGGCAACATATGCTGGATTTACGTATCACGATAGTTTGTGATGCGTACATTATGGACATGTCACGTCCGAAATGAACCCTTCCTAGACAGACGGACCACTTCCTACGGAAATTGGTGCAGTTAACAGTGACAACTCGCGGAAAAAAATTGGGACATCTGAATCTGGACCGTCCTCAACTTAGGTACAGTATGTAGTGGGTCGCTAGCTAGTGTGAACGTTTTCAAACCCGCCAGCGTACCAAAATAGATGAGAGGACCTTAGATCAGTCATCTACGTTGAACAACGTGGACATTGTTGATCGCACAGCCGTGCTCCTTAGTGAAGCTTCGTGAAGTTATTGTCAAGATTCTCATAGATAACGGAGTTAGCCACTTGTTCGTCTCTTCTTTGCTAGTTAGTCATCCCCATCTCGAAGCGGATTTCACATGCTGATTCACGGACACTCGTATGGTAGATGGGACGCTTCATCACATGGGACCATTGATTTGCAAGTTGCGCGTAGTGCTATGCTCGATAATAGCTAGACACAATCTTGACATTGCGATGCTCGACGGCAACGATTTGATATTCGGTAGAGATTGGTTGCAGACAGTTAGTATCGAATCGTGAAACCCTAACGTATTGTACACTGTTACGAATAGTAAAGAATGAAGTGGTACTGTGCATTCCTGACAGTAGCAATCAAAGCATGCGGTACCGAGGCTGAAAACGAAAAGGCAAAAGTGACTCGAAGAGTCGAACGGTTACGAAACATCTGGACCGTCAGGGCAGACAGCATCCGGCAGCAGCAGTGGCGATGATTCTGCCCGAGCAGTCGCGCGGTTGAGTTTCCCTGCAATAAAGGAATGTACCCCTTATAGTGCATGACTAGCTAAGACGCTTCGTATTCCAACTTGTACTCTTATTTACATGTTTGTATTTTCATGTTTTAAATCATCTCAATCATTTTACATTCAGTCTGAATTGAGGTCAAGGGCCTACCAGCACCACTCAATCGTGTGCAAACCTTCCTGAGGTGATCCTGGGTACGATCAACTTTTGATCGCAGCATACACATTGAAAAACAACTCAACCTAGCCTAAACTAACCTAGCCTACTTATAGTTTGACAATCCAACCCCATCAACTTTATCCACATCCATCTATCCAAGATTTCCATGCGGCCACGTGACACTAGTTTTTGTTTTGTTTTGTTTGTTTGTTTTTTTGGTTTTTTTTTTCAACCTGTTACGAGTGCAATTGAGCGAGCGAGCGAGAATTGCACCATCGAAGCAAAACAGTACAGCAAGTGAGAGAATGAGCGAAGAATATATAGCGAAGCCCAAGCGGTAACGGTAATGCGTGAAAATGGGGTGTGCTACGGGCCTAGCGCTGGGGCTGGGAATTGTCGAGGCGGAGGTCCGGAGTGTGGATCACCAACCGAACCGTGAGGTTGGGCCGCGTCGTGAACAGTAGAGGGAACAGTGGAGGGAACAGTGGAGGGAACAGTGGAGGGAACAGTGGTCGAGGCGAGTGTCGAGCACCGTAGTGGATTGAAGGTGGGTTGGACGGTTCAGATTTCACCGTAGTTGTTGGCTCATCAGCTGACTTGTTGTTGGCTGGCTCCATGGCACCACCCAACATCGAAGCAGCAGTGTGGGTAGTAGAGCCGCCACCGCCACTCTGAATCATAGAAAACAATGATTATAATGTTTCATGCCGCTTCTAACACCTTTTGACGACAAACAGCCTCCTAGAATTGTTGACACTACAGGACACACAAATGGTGTCTGTCTGGTCTAGTGTGCACTGCTGCTGGGCTTACAGTTAGTTGCACCAAACCATTGCCATGCCTCAGCTCTTCTTGTCCAGCCCAGCGGTAATTAGGTGGACTAGTTTCCTTATCGTCCTTAACCCATTTTCACGTCCGATCCGTCAAATTACCGTACCGATTACTGGTAATTCTCGAGCCAACCACCATCTACACTGTTCTTAGTCGTAGCTTCACAGCAACACTTGCATTATCGCCGATGGACTGAGCTGTATCACACCACTCCTGCTTCAATCGCGGTGTCCCCCACGCCTGTTTCCTTTCTTCTTTCCTGTTTCACAAAATGCGGCCAGCCATGCCGCCTCGGCCACCTCAGTTAACGAAGCTCCAGCAGCGGCAGAAGCGGCTGCTGAACATTTTCACCGTCACCATCCTCGCGTTCCTCGCATTCGTTGTCCTCTGCGTATTCACTCCTCTCGGCGACGGCCTTACGAATCAAGGCGTCTCCATGCTTAAAGCGGCCACTTCGGGAGTACCCACGCTCGCGCCGATGCAATCCTTCCCGCCATGCCCTTCCAACTGGACCAACCACCTCCCCTGCTATGACCCAAAAATCGCCATCCTCTACCCTCGCGAAAACAACGAGTTTCGCGAACGGCATTGCCCCGGGAAATCGGATCGGCGACGGTGCCTGGTGCCCGCGCCGTCAGGATACCGCCGACCGATACCATGGCCTGAAAGCCGCGACTGGGTACGTGGATTCTCACCGGCGCGCGTTAGATTGCGACCCGTGTTAGAGAGCATCATTGCGGATTACATCAGGGTTTTTGACTGAATTTCACATTTGTATAATTTTCCACGTGCTTCTGCGGTTTCTCCGTTCCCTTCCCCCGTTCGTTTCTTCTGGTACCGACCCCCCTTTGTTTCTGCTCCCTTTCTCCGGTTGACTCCGTTCGGCAGTGCCTCGTTAGTATCCTCCTTGCACGAATCTTCTCTCCTCTAAGCGCATCGCGTACCCTCTTGTCGTGTACCCGTCTACCATCTTGTCGACTACTCGTCTACCCTCTTGTCGTCTAGGCTCCTGTGGTCTAGCCCCTTTCCGTTTCAACTCTTGTCGTTCCGCCTCTGCTCGGCAATGCCGTCCTTTTCCGGTGCCGTTGCCACGACTTGTGGCATGATCGCTCGGCGAACAATGCGTCGTACTGGTTTCCCAATTCGCGAATTTCGTTTCCCGTTCCCTTTTCCCCCACATGCGCACCTGAAACCTTGCCTTTTCCTTTCCCTTTCCGCTCCCCCTCCCACTCTGCCCCGCCATAACGCAACACAAACTTCCCATCCTGTCCTCCTCCTTTCCATTTTTCCCTCCCCACTTCCCTCTCCACCCTCACCCCATTTCCCCCCCCCCCCCCTTTCCCTTCCGTTCCCCCTCCCGCTTCCTTCCTTCCCCGCGCCCCGTTCCCCGCCTCCCGCGCAGGTGTGGTTCCGCAACGTGCCGCACACGACGATCGCGGACAACAAGCGCAACAAGAACTGGATGGCGCGCCAGGGCGACAGGTGGCACTTCCCGGGCGGCGGGTCCATGTTCCCCGACGGCGTGGAAGGGTATCTGTACCACCTGCGCCAGATCGTGGAACTGGGCCCCAACGTGCGGACTGCACTGGATATTGGATCAGGGGTGAGTGCGGGTGGGCGAAGGGGGAGAAAGGGGAGAGGGGGATTGGGAGGTGAGGGCGGCGGGTCCATGTTCCCCGACGGCGTGGAGGGGTATCTGTACCACCTGCGGCAGATCGTGGAACTGGGGCCGAATGTGCGGACAGCGTTGGATATCGGCTCAGGGGTGAGTGCGGGGGGGAGGGGGTGGGGCAGGGGGAGTGGGCGGGTCCATGTTCCCCGACGGCGTGGAGGGGTATCTGTACCACCTGCGCCAGATCGTAGAGCTGGGCCCCAACGTGCGCACGGCGCTCGATATCGGTTCGGGGGTGAGTGCTGGGGGTGGGAGAATAGGGAGAAAGGGGAGGGAGGCAGAAGGCGAGTGGAGGGGTATCTGTACCACCTGCGCCAGATCGTAGAGTTGGGGCCGAATTTGCTCATGGCGCTGGATATTGGCTCGGGGGTGAGTGCGCAGAGGAAGAAGGGGGAGGGGAGCGGGGGAGGGGGCAAGGGGGGACGGGGGAGGGGGCAGGGGGGGACGGGGAACAGGGGACGAGGGAAGGGGGACGAGGGGAGGGGGACTGTGGTTTAAGGTGGGATGAGAATAAATTGCAAGAGCGCTCCTGGCGTGGTGTTGGATGGATGGAGTCAGGTCATGCGGGGTGAGGGAGGTGGGTGTGTAAGGCACTATCGGAATGAGGGTGAGTGTGTGAGTGTGAGGGTGAGTGAGAGTGTGAGTGGGGGGTTAGGGCGAGTGTATGAATCCCCTCCTTGTCTGTCTTCAGACCAAAGCCATCCCTTCTCTCCCCGCCTCCCCCCCTCTTCCCATTTCCCGCTAAACCCTTTCCCACCCATTCGCGCCCTCCCCTGCGCCTTCCACAACCCAAACACATTATGCTTCTTCATGGCCGGACCGCTTCCCCCTTAGGAGTGGTTGTCTTGTGGGGAAGTAAGGGGTGCTGTGCTGCTGAGCTGACCAAGGCAATGGGCGATCTGCCATGTGCCACGAAGGGCAAGCACCCGTCCCTCCCTCGTGCCCCCCGCTCCATCTCCCCGCGTCTCCCCTCCCCACCTCCAAAACCCCTCCTCTCTCCCCGCTCCCTACCGTCTACCAGATGCCCTCCTTATGGCGTGCTGTGCTGGCCGTGTCACTCGCCCTTAAACGACCACCATGCCCCCCTCCCTCCCCGCGCCTTTCTTTGGCCCTTCCCTTCGCCCTTCCCCCCACCTTCCCTCCTTCCCTGCCCTCGGCCCTCCCCATCGTCCACCCCTTGCCTCCTCGCCCCAACACCGCGTTCTGGTCTTCCCTTGTTGTTCCCACCCAACAGGTGGCCAGCTTCGGAGCGGCACTGCTGGATTACGGCGTGCTGACCATGTCCATCGCCCCCAAGGACTCGTACCGCGCCCAGATCCAATTCTCCTTGGAGCACGGTCTGCCTGCCTGCCCGCCATGATCGGGCTGCTCTTCCCCCCAGCTTCAGTGCCTCCCACACTTCTCCTCTGCACCACATCCCTGCGTCCCCCTTCACCACCTCTCACCTCCCTCCCCCCTTCTCTGCCCCCCTCCCCCTCTCCGCCGTCTTCCCCTCCTCTTCCTCCCTTCCTGCACCCCAACAGGTGGCCAGCTTCGGAGTGGCTCTGCTGGACTACGGAGTGCTGACCATGTCCATCGCCCCCAAGGACTCGTACCGCGCTCACACCCTCCCTCCCCCCGTGCCTTACTCTCTCCCGTCCCTTGTTCCCTTCCCCAGGTCGCCAGCTTTGGGGCGGCTCTGCTGGACTACGGAGTGCTGACCATGTCCATCGGCCCCAAGGACTCGTACCGCGCTCACACCCTCCCTCCCCCCGTGCCTTACTCTCTCCCGTCCCTTGTTCCCTTCCCCAGGTCGCCAGCTTTGGGGCGGCTCTGCTGGACTACGGAGTGCTGACCATGTCCATCGCCCCCAAGGACTCGTACCGCGCTCACACCCTCCCTCCCCCCGTGCCTTACTCTCTCCCGTCCCTTGTTCCCTTCCCCAGGTCGCCAGTTTTGGGGCGGCTCTGCTGGACTACGGAGTGCTGACCATGTCCATCGCCCCCAAGGACTCGTACCGCGCTCACACCCTCCCTCCCCCCGTGCCTTACTCTCTCCCGTCCCTTGTTCCCTTCCCCAGGTCGCCAGCTTTGGGGCGGCTCTGCTGGACTACGGAGTGCTGACCATGTCCATCGCCCCCAAGGACTCGTACCGCGCTCACACCCTCCCTCCCCCCGTGCCTTACTCTCTCCCGTCCCTTGTTCCCTTCCCCAGGTCGCCAGCTTTGGGGCGGCTCTGCTGGACTACGGAGTGCTGACCATGTCCATCGCCCCCAAGGACTCGTACCGCGCTCACACCCTCCCTCCCCCCGTGCCTTACTCTCTCCCGTCCCTTGTTCCCTTCCCCAGGTTGCCAGCTTTGGGGCGGCTCTGCTGGACTACGGAGTGCTGACCATGTCCATCGCCCCCAAGGACTCGTACCGCGCTCACACCCTCCCTCCCCCCGTGCCTTACTCTCTCCCGTCCCTTGTTCCCTTCCCCAGGTCGCCAGCTTTGGGGCGGCTCTGCTGGACTACGGAGTGCTGACCATGTCCATCGCCCCCAAGGACTCGTACCGCGCTCACACCCTCCCTCCCCCCGTGCCTTACTCTCTCCCGTCCCTTGTTCCCTTCCCCAGGTCGCCAGCTTTGGGGCGGCTCTGCTGGACTACGGAGTGCTGACCGTGTCCATCGCCCCCAAGGACTCGTACCGCGCTCACACCCTCCCTCCCCCCGTGCCTTACTCTCTCCCGTCCCTTGTTCCCTTCCCCAGGTCGCCAGCTTTGGGGCGGCTCTGCTGGACTACGGAGTGCTGACCGTGTCCATCGCCCCCAAGGACTCGTACCGCGCTCACACCCTCCCTCCCCCCGTGCCTTACTCTCTCCCGTCCCTTGTTCCCTTCCCCAGGTCGCCAGCTTTGGGGCGGCTCTGCTGGACTACGGAGTGCTGACCATGTCCATCGCCCCCAAGGACTCGTACCGCGCTCACACCCTCCCTCCCCCCGTGCCTTACTCTCTCCCGTCCCGTGTTCCCTTCCCCAGGTCGCCAGCTTTGGGGCGGCTCTGCTGGACTACGGAGTGCTGACCATGTCCATCGCCCCCAAGGACTCGTACCGCGCTCACACCCTCCCTCCCCCCGTGCCTTACTCTCTCCCGTCCCTTGTTCCCTTCCCCAGGTCGCCAGCTTTGGGGCGGCTCTGCTGGACCACGGAGTGCTGACCATGTCCATCGCCCCCAAGGACTCGTACCGCGCTCACACCCTCCCTCCCCCCGTGCCTTACTCTCTCCCGTCCCTTGTTCCCTTCCCCAGGTCGCCAGCTTTGGGGCGGCTCTGCTGGACTACGGAGTGCTGACCATGTCCATCGCCCCCAAGGACTCGTACCGCGCTCACACCCTCCCTCCCCCCGTGCCTTACTCTCTCCCGTCCCTTGTTCCCTTCCCCAGGTCGCCAGCTTTGGGGCGGCTCTGCTGGACTACGGAGTGCTGACCATGTCCATCGCCCCCAAGGACTCTTACCGCGCTCACACCCTCCCTCCCCCCGTGCCTTACTCTCTCCCGTCCCTTGTTCCCTTCCCCAGGTCGCCAGCTTTGGGGCGGCTCTGCTGGACTACGGAGTGCTGACCATGTCCATCGCCCCCAAGGACTCGTACCGCGCTCACACCCTCCCTCCCCCCGTGCCTTACTCTCTCCCGTCCCTTGTTCCCTTCCCCAGGTCGCCAGCTTTGGGGCGGCTCTGCTGGACTACGGAGTGCTGACCATGTCCATCGCCCCCAAGGACTCGTACCGCGCCCAGATCCAGTTCGCCCTGGAGAGAGGCCTGCCCGCCATGATCGGGCTGCTCGCCACGCACCGCCTGCCCTTCCCCGCTCGCTCGTTCGATTTGATCCACTGCTCCCGCTGCTCTGCTTCGTTTGGGGATGAGAGTGAGTGGGGGATGGGGGGAAGGGGGGCGGGGGGCGACGGGGCGTGGGGAAAGAATGGAGGAAATGGGGTTGAAGGGGAAGGGGGAGAAGGGGAGGGGAAGGGAGATTGTGCAGTGGTCATGGGTTCAGGGGTAAACAGGGTTAGGAGGCAAGGGCATGTGAATGAGAGAAGATCAAACAAACCCATCAATGGGGGCAACGACGGGGCATGGGAGGGGTCTGGAGGAAGGGTGGTAGGAGGGTGGGAGGAGGGTGGTAGGAGGGTGGGAGGAGGGAATTAGGAGTGAGGGAGCAAGCATGGCGTGGTACAAGGTATGAGGCTGCAGGGCTCAACGTTTAAGAGGTGGATGCATTGTCTTCTCATCTCATCTCCCCCCCCCTTTTATCGGCCTCCTCCTCAGTCCCGTCCTTCTCCTCACTCCCTCTCCCTCTCCCTCTCCCTCCCCCCTCCCCCCTCCCCCCTCCCCTCCCCAGACTCCACGCACGTGTACGAGGTCGACCGACTCCTCCGTCCCAACGGCGTGTTCATCTTGGCGGGGCAGCCGGTGGGCTTCAGTCAACTCTCCAGTCTCCTCCTCTGCCTGCCTCCCCCACTCCCTCCCCCCCGCCCCCTCCCCTCCCCAGACTCCACGCACGTGTACGAGGTGGATCGACTCCTCCGTCCCAACGGGGTCTTCATCCTGGCGGGGCAGCCGGTGGCGTGGCGCGGCAAGATCGCGGAGTGGAAGCGGCTGCGGCTGCTGGGCAAGGCGCTGTGCTGGGAGCTGCTCAAGACCGTGGGGAACGTGGCCGTGTGGCGCAAGCTGGGAGGCGACGCGTGCCGCGTGGGCGTGGAGGGGGATGGGCGGGATGTGCCGCTCTGCTCGCCTGCTCTTGATCCTGATGATGCCTGGTATGGATGGGGATAAGGGGTGGGAGGGTTGGGTTTCACTGTGGATGGGAGGGGATAGGGGGTGGGTTTGAGAGGAGGACGGGTGGTGGGGAATGAGGGATGTGCCGCTCTGCTCGCCCGCTCTTGATCCTCATGATGCCTGGTATGGGGAAAGGGAGGGTGGGGTTTTTCTGATGCTGCATGGAGTGGACGGGAAAGGGGATGGGTTGTGAGAGGTGGCGGGTGGCGGGGAGGGAGGGAGGGGGAGAGAGGGGACGGAAGGGGAGGGCAAGTGAGTGAGTCAGGGTCAAGTCATATCATGCCTTTCTTTCTATCCAGGTGTGCTGTAACTTCATAAAGTCACTTCCACTCACTTTAGTCACTTCCTTCTCAGGTGACCTGTGAGCCAATTCACAGCTTTGCATTGCTGTGCTGCACCCTCACTTACCTGCCGTGCCCACCCTTGCAACGCTCCCCTCCCTCCCTCTTCCCCCCTTCCTTGTGTATTTATTTCATCTCCCAGTGACCCCATACATAACCTGTCTGAGCCGTGTGTAATATCAGATCTTCCTTACTCTCTCCCTGCCTTCCTCCACCTCCCCTTCCCCCCCCTCTTCCCCTCTTCCCCACCCTTCCCTCTTCCCCCCCCGCCCTTCCCTCCCCCGTCCGTCTTCCCCGTTCCGCCCTCCCCCTCTCTCTTCTTCCCTATCCCTCACCTCACCAGGTATGTGAAGCTACAACCATGTGCAGTGCCCTCCGCGCCCCCCTCCTGGCCCACCCCCCCCTGGCCCATGCGCCTGCACACCCCCTCCCCCCGCGTGCAACTCGCCCTCCCCGCCTCCTCCAAAGCCTCTCTCTCCGACTGGCTCGCTGAGTCTTCTGAAAACGGCCAGACCTCTGCCTCCTCCTCCTCGTCTTCCTCTTCTGCTTCGTCTGCTGCTGCTGCTGGTGCTGCTGGTGGGGGTAGCAGTGGGGGGTTAGATAGGGCTGGTTTGAATGGGGAGAGAGGGGCGGAGGGGGGCGGTCGTGGTGGGGGAGGGGGAGGGGGAGCAGGGGATGGGGGAGAGGGCGACGACAACCGGAACGTAGTGGGGAGAGTGGAGCTGGCAAGCGCAGGAGCAGTGAAAGTGGTGGTGGATGGGATACTAGCACAGGGAGGCAAGGAGGACGACGCAGAGGAGGACCGGGAAAGCGGTCGGGGAGGGGGAGGGGGAGCGAGGGAAAGCCGCAGGGACAGCGGCAACAACCCTCAGCGCCGGCTGTTGCTTTCAGTCGACGAGGAACGCGAGGGGGGAGGGAGCGGGGGCGGCGGCGGGGGAGGAGGGGGAGAGACGGAGCAGTTCAAGCTGCTGTCTCTGGAGCGCAAGCGGTGGCGCCGGCGGTTGCTGCACTACCAGAAGCTCTTTCTTGGACCGCTGCTCTCCTCGGGGCGTGTTCGAAACGTGCTGGATATGAACGCGGGGATCGGGGGCCTGGCAGCTGCTTTGGAAGATGAGCAACTGAAGGCCGAGAGGGAGAGGGAGATGGGGAGGGGGGTGGGGAGGGGGAGGGGGAGGGAGTTGCAGCAGCAGCAGGAGGAGCAGCAGCGAGGGGGAGTGTCTCCGGTGTGGGTGATGAATGTGGTGCCTAGTACGGGGCCCAACACACTGCCTGCTATCTATGACCGTGGGCTTGTAGGCACTGTGCATGACTGGTGAGCTGGCTTTTTCCTTTCCTTTTTTTTTTTTTTTTTTTTTTCCTTCTTCTTCATTTGTTCGTTCCTTGGTTGGAGGGTAACGGGGGGAAGGGTCAGGACAGTAACAGACATGGAGAGGACAGCGACCGCCATTGATGTAGTGTGTTGTGTCTTCATTCATATTCTGAAGGGAGATGGTTTCAGTAGCTGGTCTGATTGAGGTTGGGCGAGCGCGATTATTTCCCACACTGGATTAATGCCCCTTTGTCGTTTTTTCCCTTTCTCCTGCTAACTCTACCTCCCCTTCCCCCTTTTCCTCCTCTGTACCCCTGCGCTGTGCGTGCATGTGTCAGGTGTGAATCATTCTCATCGTACCCTCGCACCTACGACCTCATTCACCTCCTCTCCACCGCGCCTCTCATGCCCTCCAAGTAATTCCCTCCACTCTCACTCACTCTCAAATTCGCATTCATGCTCTCACACTTGCTCACTTCCACATATGGATCCTGTTTGGGGTGTTCAACTAATCCAACAAACCCCAAATCCGCATGCTGGGACTGCATGCACCTGTATGATTGGAAAAACATACGGTGTCAAGATATTATATTCTGGACCCATCTAAATAATGTCATATATGACTTTCTCCTTTCCTCTTTCCCCCCTCTTCCCCTGACCTCCCCTTCCCTGAACCTCCCCTCCTCTCAACTCTCTGCACCCATCCTGCACCCCAAAGGGAGCGCTGTGAGATTGCAGACATAGTCGTGGAGATGGACCGACTCCTCCGCCCAGGAGGCACTGTCATTGTGCGCGACCTCCCCGGGCCTCTCGCTGTGGTGGCCCAGGCAGCTAGAGCCGCCCAGTGGTCTCTCGCCTTCTTCCCTCCGGAGACCAAGAAAAGCCCGGAGCGCATTCTTGTGGCCACTAAGCCAGTGCCGGCTGGGTTTGAAGGGACAGACTCGCTGGGAGGAGACGGGGAGAGTGATGGGGAAGGAGAGGTGGAGGGTTCTGATGGGTTGGTAGGGGGGGGTGAGGGTGGGGATGGTGAGGAGCGGGGTGGGGGAGGGAGGAGGGGGTCTGATGGGGAAGGTGGAGCGGGTGGGGGGGTGGCGTTTGAAGGGAGATCGGGTATGGCTCATGCAGCTGCAGCTGCGGCGGCGGCAGCAATTGATGCCAAGGCCGGAAGGTCTGGCAATAACTAGATGTAGGGCTGAAGATTGTTAATCAAGTAGTTTCGATGTTTGATCGGGGTGTTTTTTCTTCTCCGTGGAGGAAGGCACAGATCTGCCATTTCTATGAGGGATATATCTTTGTAATTTCAGGAGCTGGCAATAATGACTTTTTCTTAAAGTGTGAGCAAGCCCTTGATGATCCTAGGTAAATTAGTCTGTCTAGATCAAATGTTGTGATTTTTTGTAGATCACCCTATAGCTGTTGTAAGTCTCTGTACCCGTTATTGAGCAATTCAGCACACGCATCAGTTTTCATGCACCACTCTTCTGCAATAGAGGTCGCAGAATCGCAGATTGAGGCTCCGACTAGAGCTTTTGTTTAGGCGGGCACCTCACCTGATTGTGTTGTGTTCTGGATGCGAGTCTGTCTCACATAAGCTGTTCGAAGAACAGAACTTATCACTTCACAATCTCGAAGGGAGTCTTCAGATTTTTCAACGCTTGTGGAAGCGAATCTTACCATTTGTTTTCCATCCTGACATCGCCAATTTCCAAATAATGGAGACTCCTGTAGTACCAATGTAAGGTGCCGCCATTGGTTTTTACCTCTACTGATGGGATGCACGCTTATGATATTAATTTCAGGAATGACATAAGTCCGCCATTAAGCCCACGCGAGGACACCAGACTTTCTGTTGAGGACTCAGACCTGGCCGTCGCGACTCCTCAACATGCAAATCCTCCAAAATATGCCAAACAAATATCTGAACGGCAGGTCTTTATGACAATTTGTACTGTTCTATCAGTCATAACGGCAGTATCATCTGTTGCCTGTGCCGTTGTCAATGGCATCTCGATGGTCGTCAGCGCTATTCCTCCTGGAGTGAATGTACGTGCTCATAGTACCTTTACCTTTCTCGAGCACCACCTTTGTATATTGACTGCGCCTACTTCAGGTTTTCCTTGTGCTGTTGCAAGCATATGGAATGGTGTTTTCTCTTGCTTCTGCGTTGCTGGAAGCGGAGCTGGACGTAGTCACGAAGTTCATGGAGGTAAGAAAGTCAGAAAAGTGCCCCTTCAAAGTCTCTGCAATGAGCAATAACTCGTGACACCGGTTTTCTCAGATCTTGAAGTTCTGGACAGCAAGGGGAATGCTGCAAGGATTGTAAGCGTTCCCCTTAATCATAGAATTTGACCTCTCTTCTGTCAACTTAAACGCCAATCTGTCATTTGCAGCGTTGCAATTCTGACAAAGGCCATAACAAGGACCTGCAGCAAGTCGATTTTTGAAAAGATTTTTGACAATGGAGCCATTTGGCTTCTCCTTGTTTGTGGAATACTCCATTTTTGCGGGGTATGTGATTTCCTCACCAGTTTTTTAATCGTGCATTCAGAGTTTCATTCTCATGCTCCAACGACAGGGGATAGTGTGCGTCGGTCAACTGAAGAAGGACATCCAGAAAGAAAAGGAGAAAAAGGAAGAGGCAAAGAAGGAAGTAGAGGTGGGTGATAATTGCACACATCAATTCCATCATGCAGGGCCTTGCTTACCCTCATCACATGCAGGATTTGGAATCGAGGAGGAGAAAGCTTGAGCATGATCTTGCATGCTATGATTGAGAGCCCAAAGAAAGTGACAGATGGCTCATCAGTGAAGACTGAACAATGCATGGTTCCAGGAGATACCGTACCAGCATTTTCTAAATGTTAAGTTCTGTACGGTATTTACAGGGAACAAAAGACCTGCTTTTTGACGAATCTTGTCAATTGAGAACGACTCGCAAACTGCAAGTGCACGGTCTAATATCAGCTGCTTTTTTTGGGACCCCTGATTGCCATTGACAACCACCATGTCACATGTCAAATCTGGATTATTTCCAGCAGTCCATCATCTTGAAAGTCATCATCAAACCCATCCCTCCCACCTTCATTTTTCCGTCGCTCTCTCTCCTTTTCCCTCATCTCTGCCAGCTCTTTGCATCTGGGACAGGCAACCCTGCCCTGCCCTTGACATGCCTTGCATACCAGACGTTTTGAGAGCCCATCGATGCTCCCTCCATCTACTCCTGATCCTGCCCCAAGCCCTGAAACCTGTTCGCTAGCAGAGAAAAAATCCAGGGCTTGCAGTTCCTCCTTCTGCAGCCAGCCCATGGCCCAATGTCTCCGATCCTGAAACGGAAGCGATGAGAAAAGGCATGAGAAGTGGAAATGGGGATGATGAGAAGGCAGGAATTTGAGAATGCAAGTAACTGACATGCCATGCCCTGTAGCATGCAGCACACTACAGGAGAATTAATAAGCAAGATTATGTGGCAGTAGGACTTCACGTTAGTTATCTGTAAGAATTATAACCAGGCAAACAAAAACAAAAAACTTCAACCCACTCACCTTCAGGTTGTGTGCATTCACCCAAACTCGAGTGCTAGGGTCACATGTCGCCACCATCTCCACAAACCAGTCACTTTTCGAGCCTAATCCCGAGCTAGAAGCAGAATCCCCAGCAGCCTTCCACACAATGATTGGATTGCCAGCCCCATCCACAACTTTCTCTGCAGGCATCTCAGCTTCACCCATTGCTGTGCCTCTGTGTCTGCCTGCAGCATTGCCTCCCATCCTTCTCTTGGATTCAACTCTGAAGTGGTGCCAACCATGCGTGCGCACCATGGCTGTCCACTTGGATCCTGGAGGATGGAACATTGAGCAGGAGGGAGGAAAACATGGAGAGGATAACATGAGGGATAATATGAAGGATCCTCAAGGAAAGAAAATATAAGCAGGGAAACGTGAAACACTGAAAGGCCAACGAAGGAACTGAATGTGAACCTAGTACCACATTCATAAATGCTGATGGAAGGGAACTCGCATCGGGTGGAGGCGTGGGGGTCACCGGGGACTCTTGCCTAAGGTAGGACTAAAGCAAAGTAAAAAGAAAAGCATCCAACCTTGACTTCGCAGAGTGCCGCATGCGCACTCATATATGCAGTCGGGCTATGGCGGTAAAAGTAGAAACCGCTATGCTGTGTATGTGATGCCTAGGAAGTATCCTTCACCTATGATTCTTGAAACAGAGACTGGGTTTTTCTTCTGGAAGCCTCCGCGAGCCAGTGTGCCAACACCATTACAACATGCACACTCCACCAGCTTAGTATCTGGCACAGAGCAGGGAGGAAGGATGGGAACGGTTGGGGGGGTCAAAAAGGAGGAAGAGGGAAATTAAGGGGCTGGTTGAAATGAGCTGCCGTAAAGAAAAGAGGAAGCGCATGGTGGTGGTCGCATTGAAACTTGGCTAGGGGAAACCATTTTCAGTGTTCCACTCGATTCCCTTCCCCCTTCACTCTTCAGAACACACTCCTCGTCCCATCACACTCCCCTTCATCCCCCCCACTCCCCAGACACCACCCCCTTGCACCTTGGCAGACGCGGCAGGGCACACGAGGGTAGAGCGTGGAGAGGGGTTTCACGAATGAGGACGACGAAGGAACAGCCGAGGGCACTCCATCCCGCACAACCCACGAAGCTCCTGCTGCTGTTGCTCCTGCTGCTGTTGCTCCTGCTCCTGCTCCAGCTGTTGCTGCTGCTGGTTGACCTGTGCCGGCTGGGGTTGTCACAGCTTCCCTGATACCAGCGGCTGCACTCGACTCTCCGTAGCAGGTACCGTTAGAATGGCTGTCTCCCCAGTAAAGGGGGTGCTACTAGTGCTGGGAGTACCGCCATTCATTCTCATCCTTTCACCCCCATTCGCTCTGCTCCCCTGCTGCTCGCCCTCCTTGTCCACGTCAGCCGCTCTGTTTCCCCGAGCGCGTTTCGAGTCTTTCGCCTTCCTGCGGGTCGCACGCGCTCCCTCCTGCTCCGCGTTCTCTCCGCGCCTCCCCCCTCGTCTCCCCGCCCGTCCGCCAGCGCTACTGCCGCCTTCCCACCCCGCAAACCGCGGATCGTCCACGTCGTCATCGAACCAGACCGCGGCTACGATATGCGCTGCACAGACCGGGGGGATCGTCCACGGGCGCGCAACGGAGCGGTCTGGTCGGCCGCGAAGAATCGGCGGCGGACGCGCGGGTTGCGGAGCGGGGACACTTTCCGCAGCGCAACGGTCGCCGGGAAAAGGAGCGCGTTGCGAGACCACGGAGCCAAAGAATGAAGAATCAAGGGAACGCACCGCCATACTGCCGTGGGGGTCGCAGAGGGAATTCTAGACTAACGGTCTCCACTGTCTCGCCGTAAAAAAACAACTGCCGATGCTGCGTCGCCTGGCAAGCAAGCACCCCAGGAAAGACAAACGTGCCACGAAATAATCGCGATTGCGATTGCAATTGCTGTAGACTCTGTAAATTGGGCCCAGTTCGGCAGGCATTATGGCCATTATGGCCATTATGGGCATTTTTAACGGGCCCCCAAAAAATGGCCCCTCGAAACAGCTGCGAAGTCAGACTGTAGCCGCAGTTTAACTTCGGAAGAATGGGCCCGACTGTTCGGTTGGCATTAAATGGGCCTGGATTAATGGCATCAACCCAAAATGACACTTCGCAGAAGCTCGCATGCAGCTGCGCTGATGGAGCCCAGAATCACTGTACTGGCAGCCCGGGCAGCCCTGCAAACCAGTGGTGGACGTCGAAAAAAATCGGGCAAGAGAATCTGTGCGTTCGATGTGTTAGTGATGGTGTGTTGGTGATGTGTGATTTTCCAGTTGGCAAGAAGAGGGGCATGAAAGACCCGGATTTGTTTTTTTCAGGGCAATGTGTGATTGCCCCGAATCACTGATACCCCGTGTGGTGCGGGCTCTCGAGGCCGCATGGTGCGGCGTATCAGAAAATGGACCATTTGCCTGAGAAATAGGGTTCGAGGAAGATTCCTCTGGTGGAAAATGCCAGCGTCAAAAGGGGTGTTCGGCTGGCATTCCATTATTGTCTGGTTCGGCGATGATCCGCTTATATCGAGCCTAGATAACCTTTCACGCGCTTATCAAAGAAGGTTCCAGGGTGGTCGGTTTACTGTAGCCCATACGGGGAAACCGTTTTTTTAATGCCTGCCGAACCGGGCCTTGGTCTTACTGTACTGTTCTACAGACAGCCGAAATTTGGATTCGACGACAACCATACCATAACAGGTCTACCACCATTCGTTCATGTTGTGGTGTGCTGTCTGGCATTCCAATCAGGGCTGACGATTCAAGGGCAAATGCCCTTAATGCCCTGATTATTAAGGGTTGGGTTTGGCCCAGCTTCCGAATTTTAAGGGTTGGATTTGAGGGCAGCCCTTTCCCGCAAAGTGCTGGTTGTGGGCCTAACCCGGATTTCAAGTGCAGATCCCGCGGCTAGCCCTTATCGTCCCATACTAATACCTCCCTCCCTCCCATTCGCTCACCAGTCCCCCCACCTCCTCCCAGCCACTCCCCTACTTCCTTCTCCCATCCCCCTCAAATCCATCGACATGTTTCGTACCTCAGCCTATTGCCTAGTTGGCTCTTAGTAGTTTGCCTAGGATACGGTATCCCTGGCGAAGTGCAAAAAAGTTGGTAGCCCTGATTTCAAGTGCCAGGTTTGCTCTCAGCCCGGAAATTTCAGGGCAACTTTTGGGGCACCTCAGCCTCTCAAGTTCTGGCTCCAAACCAATCGACAGCCCTGATTCCAATTTCCATGGCAGCCGAATGGCAAGCTTGTCGTGCTAGGGCTTGATCGTTACTGCGTCTAGACGTTATCGTGAATGAAACGACGGTGACAATCAGAGTGTGGTTTCAGACAACGTACTCACTAGGCACAAACGCGCTACAGTAATACTGACACCGGATCCACAGGTCATTTGATTTAACACGCCTTGTTGATGTTGAAGGCTGAGGGGCTCTCAGCCACGAGGTCACTGTCGCGTTTGACGTGTAGCTAAGACATGACGCCACATCAACAAGGTGAATGAATTTCCCCATTATAATGGGGATCATCAGCAGAACATCAACTGACCTCCCTCACGTGTGAAAATACAAAATAAAGCGCTTCTATCCATTTGACAATACTAAATAAATCAATGCACTATCCATCAATGGGTACGTAAGTGCTTGTTTTATAATTATTAAACATGAAAAACGGATCAATACTAAAATATTGTTTGCAGCCTAAATGTATCCCATATGGTTTTTTATTTTGAAGGATGCATTTCACTAATAAAAGTGGTTACATCCACAGTGGTTGTATCCCATATTGTACAACCATAAGACACTACAGATAGTTACAAAGATTGCACAGTGTGACACGAACTGTTATTGGCGTGGACGCACCCCAGGGTACTCTCGAAGCCCAAAAAAGCTCATCAAACCCCCAGTTCAGCTCCCCCGCGCAAAACCTGCCCAGCCTCGAACACATCCCGCCCTCGTTTGCCACCGCCGCGATTCCGCCCATCGTCGGGCGAGTTCTCTTTCCCCGCCCCGTGTGCGCTCCGAACATTCCCCCAATATTTTCCCTGCACGCCCGCCTCCCTGCATGCCCGCCTCCCTGCGCGCCCGCATCCCTGCCCGCTTTGATTCCCCTGCTCCATCCTCCCCTCCTCCCCTCCCTCGTCCCCTCACCTCCAGCTGTCAACACCTCGCGCTCACCATTTCTCTCCACTTTTCGCCCACGCTTGCTCTCTTTCCTCCCTCTACTCCTCGCCCTGCGATTTCTTTCTCTTTCCTTTCTCGCCCAGCTCTCTTCGTCAGGCTGCCCTCGCTTGTCGCCAGCCATGGAGGTACGAACCGCACCGCTCTAAGCTGCGCAGGCTTTTTCGAGGGATGAGCTCGTAGTGTCGCAGGGTGATTAGGTCCTCGTCTAGTTAACCCTGCTCCGAATTCCGGCGCTGCCGACCCGTTTTCCAGCGTTAGGGTTTCGTCTAGTGCAGCGGCCGCGGCTCCATACAATTTAATATTGTTGGCGGAACACCTCGTTTAGCATGGCGTCGAGGGAAGAACCGTCAATTGCTGCGGGAGGGCTGGTGATCGTTGAAGCCCGAACTCTTTCGTTTTTTCTTGTTTCGTATATCTTCGTACACATCTGGCCTGAGATAAGCCTTCTGGGAGTTTTGTGTGTTTTATTTTCATTTCCAAAATGTTTCAATTTTTGCCTTCCGGCTAATCGCGTGCTGGCTTGTCGGACTTAAACATATGTCTCTCGTCAGATTAGGGTGAGAGGGGCTTTGCCGAAGCAATGCGTTTAAAGCCATGCCATTGCGTCTCAAGTCATCATGTCCGTCATGGTGGCGGGCCATGCTATGACTAGATCCACTAGCCGACATGGACAGCCTCATCAGAAGCAAGCAGTCGCTGTAGCTGACGCGTGAGCACGTATAAGAAGAAGGGGATGCGGGTGTGTCTTGTCAAGAACGCCTCCAGGGGGTCGTTCTGCTCTAGCCATACACGAATCTCGCATCGTGCTGTTGCAGCTCCCAGCACACGCCGCTCGAGGTCATTGTAAAGCCAGTCGTGCGAGTGGGGTCGGATGGGAATCGGAACTGTCTTGAGGTCAGATAAAGCTGGACAAACGGTCCAAATAAGTAGACTGTTTTGATGGGATAGAAGCGACGCTGCGATAGAGTGGGCTCGCTAGGTGTAGATCAGCTGAGAACCTGTGCGTAGTGCTGGTGATCAGTCAGGCGTGCATTGCCGTTATTCGAGAATGGTCCCTCGTGCACTCCGATCAGGCCACCCGTTGGCTGCGTGTCTGATCCGTCAGTGCTGATCGTTCTTTTATTCGGTCTTATTCTACTCTTGACCTTTCCTTCGTCTTCTCTCTCCCCTCCTGCCGCTCCTCTCTTGCAACCTGCTTCCCCCCTGTCGTTGGCCGCACTCCCACTCCCTGTCTTTCCTCTCTCCGCCCCCCGTTACAATTAATTTCCTCTTTTTGAACGATATCTTAATTGTTGTCCATTCCTTTCTTTGCCCCCCGTCTCCCTTCCCCCCCCTCTCTCGAACTCCCTTCGGTGCGGCGTTTCGCGGTCGTGGTTGATGCTGTGTCATATCTGCGTCGCTGCAGTCGGTGCAGTGTTTCGGTCGCAAGGTGCGTTGTCTCCTCATTCTTCCTTACCTCCTCCTCAGACTATCACTGGCGGCTCTTCCAGGAAACTGAAACATAGGAAAGCCATTTCCTGTTACAGAATGTTTAAAGTGGTCCCGGATCACTCCGGATCCACTGCGGGGACAGAGCGATCATTACCGCATCCTGGGGCTTTGACCTAGGGCGTTTGCCTAAGGCGTTGACCTAGGGTTATGTCCTAGGGCTGATATTCATTAACGCTGCACACGGAATCTCGATGCCGTATTCCTTAATGTTCAACCTCCTTCTACCTTGCAGTTCTTCTCGACCTTACGCCTCTCCTTCCCTCCGTCCCAATTCCCTCTCCGCTGGTTTCTTGAGAGCAGAAGACAGCAGTGGCAGTGGCTCACTGCAAGAGGGGCAAGGGTCTTATTCGCCTCAACGGTTAGTTCTTTCGCTTGCTCCACATCCTCTGCTATGTATCCTCTCCCATTCCTAACCTTCCCAGATTCTTCCGAGAGCTTCGACTTAAAGATGTCAGAACCCATTCCTGCTCCCTCGTTCTTAAGGGTTTTTATTCTGGTTCCCTACCTTTGACTCAACACTGACTTCTAGACCTCTTCCCTCCCCCCCCTCCCCCCCTCTCCATCCTTTTCACCTTCCCCCGCATCAACAAACCAACCCTCCCCCTCCCTCCTTCCCCCCTGTCGCAACGTACCCTGTATAAACTCTACCCCTTTTTCTCCCCTTCTCCAACTTCTCCCCGTCTCCCCCTTTCCCGGGCCTCCCCCTCCGCTTCTCCCCCTGCGCGCAGGGTCGCCGCTGGAGCTGGTGGAGCCTGATACGCTCCGCGCCAAGGCGTTCGAGCCCGTGACGGTGCTGGGCAAGGACAAGTTCGCCAATGTCGACATCCGCATCCGCGTGCAGGGAGGAGGACACGTGTCACAGATCTACGGTGCGTTGCGCCAACTTTGTTCCGCCAACTTCGCTTCACTCCCAAAATGCCCTTTCTCGTGTGGGGCCAGTTAGAGTTGTTGGATTCGGTCTGTTCCTACACCCAGGTTCTCTGTGCAATTGATTCGTTTGTACGACTGAACCATTTTTCCTACACTGTCGTTGTCTTCCTTACTGAGTCCAGAACCTTTGCTCTTTCCCTGTGTGTCCTTCCCCATCACAGCCATCCGTCAGGCCATTGCCAAGGCCCTCGTTGCCTACTACCAGAAGTGTACGTGATCTCTATAGGCTGGGATGTTGAGTGGTTGTGGAGTTCTGGCATGAATGATGGTGTGTGTTGTGGGCTGCATGGGCTGTGCTGAGTGTTTCAATACCTTGCAACCTTACTCTTGCACAGCACATCTACTTCTCTTGCCATTTCCCCCTTGTCTTTCATATTATTTTTTCCGTGTTTTTTTCCTCACTTTCAACCATGCATATTTCTTTTTGGTACAAGCAGACGTGGACGAGCAGTCCAAGCGGGAGCTGAAGAACTTGTTGTTGCGTTACGACCGCACTCTCCTCGTTGCTGACCCCCGCCGCTGCGAGCCCAAGAAGTTCGGTGGTCGTGGTGCCCGCGCCCGCTACCAGAAGTCTTACCGTTAAATGCGGAGACTTGCGGATCTGTTTTAGCCAACAGATGTCAATGCTCACTCCGTTTACTGGCTTATTGCTTGTTCTACAGTTGCTGCTATGGCTTCAGGCAAGGCAGTGGCTAGCAAATGCGATTCATCCTTGAATGTGTTTCGATTGTGTCTATGCAATGGGCTGCAATGAAATTGTTGATGCTTTCTTGAAAGTCCTTGGATCAAATCATGTAAACCTGAACAAGGTTTAGCATTGGCATTTGGGATGACCGAAGTTGTTGGATGGTTATGAAGATAGCGAACGAACTATTTGGGGTAACATCCACAGGTTATGTATTGTTAAAGCCCGTAGCTAAAATAGTGACCCCCCCCTTCTAGTTGGGTCCATTTGAAGACACAAGCTTTTTTGGAACGTTTTGAGAGGTTGAAGTGCTATAAGTTTTGTTTTTACACCCCCAGTCGAGTCTCGATGTGAACAGGGAACATTTGGAACTTTTCTAGAATTTTGATTGGCAGCGACTTTCACTCACTTGCCTGTGCGAATTTGGCGCAAGTTTTCAATGCTATGTCTTCAGACAAGGAGTTGTCAAACTTCACATCAAGCAACAACATTGGCAAAATCCAGCGCACGCACATATGCACGAGATGACAGTGGAACACCATAAAGGTTGTCCGACGAGCTAGCAGAGATGTGAAAAAAGTGTTTCTTTGGACTTGTAGTCGAGGCGATAGAATAGGGAGTTGAGAAAAAAAGAACGAACGGAAAAAAAAATGATGAACAAGGCGAGGAGGAACGACGGGATAGGAGGGGAGAGAGGCGAAACGACGGCATAGGAAGGGGAGAGAGGCGGAACGACGGGACGGGAGGGGAGGGAGACGGAACGACGGGATGGGAAGGGGAGAGGGGCGGAACGACGGAATGGGAGGGGAGAGAGACGGAACGACGGGATGGGAAGGGGAGAGAGCGGGAACGACGGGATGGGAAGGGGAGAGAGGAGGAACGACGGGATAGGAGGGGAGAGAGGCGAAACGACGGCATAGGAAGGGGAGAGAGGCGGAACGACGGGACGGGAGGGGAGGGAGACGGAACGACGGGATGGGAAGGGGAGAGGGGCGGAACGACGGAATGGGAGGGGAGAGAGACGGAACGATGGGATGGGAAGGGGAGAGAGCGGGAACGACAGGATGGGAAGGGGAGAGAGGAGGAACCACGGGACGGGAAGGGAGAGAGATAGAACGACGGGATGGGAGGACAGTGAGGAGGAATGACGGGATGGACGGGGAGAGAGGAGGAACGGTACGGGACGGGATGAGAATGTGCGAGCGCGAATGGTACGGGAGACGAGGAACGTGAGCGCGATGGCGAGGGGATGGGAGAAGGTGAGAGCGACGGGAAGGGATGGGAGAGAGCGAGATCGACGGGTAGGAATGGGAGAGGGCGAGAGCGACGGGAAGGGATGGGAGAGAGCGAGAGCAGCGGGAAGGGATGGGAGGGCTATTCGAAACGAGCGTGACGGCGCAGAGGTGGGTGATGGCAGGGGCGAGAGGAAGAGCGACGGGAGGGCGACTGGGCGAGAGCGCCACGGCAACGAGGTGGGTCATGGGAAAAGAGAGAGGAAGGACGGCGGTAGGGCTATACTAAACGAGCGGAACGGAAATGGCGTTGGAAGGGCGGTGCGATAGGAGATGAAGTGGCGAAGGAGAAAGGCGACGGGATGAAGAGTGCGAAGGCGATGGGAGGGAGAGTGGACAGGCGACGGGAAAGAAAGTGCGAAGGCCAAGGGAGGGAGGGCGGACAGGCGACGGGGGAGAGCGCGAAGGCGACGGGAGGGAGAGCGGACAGGCGACGGGAGGGGGAAGGGATATCGCGAGGGCGACGGGAAGGAACGAAGGAAAAAGGGGACAACGAAGGCAACGTGAGGGAAGGGAGATAGTGAGGGCGACGGGAAGGAAGAGGGGACATCGAAAGCGAGGGGCGGGAGAACGGGAAGGCGACGGGCTCGGAGGGAACTCGCGAGGGCGAGGGGACAAGAGGGGTGAACGGGAGAATAACCGGGAGGGGAGACCGTGACGACGACGGGAGGGCCGTCGCGTGTGCGTTTGCGAGGGCGACGGAAAGGCGACGGGACGGACTAGAGAGCGAGGCGTCGGCGGACCCCACCAGCAATGGCGAGACGGGAAACGGGCACTGCGCTACCAGGCCACGTAAACCTACATTTCACACTCTCGCTAGGTCGACAATTGACGCACTCGTCGGTAATTACGTGGCTATGACACGATCGCATGTGCTTTCAGCTCTACTACTTACTATGCTATGCGGAAACTAGTGATGAATGGAGTGACAGAAATCTAGTAATCCACCCACCACCAGCTTGAAAATGAGGTTGGGCCTGCGATGGGAAACCATCGCCTGGGGTTTGTCGTGCGGATGCGGCACGCAAAAATGCGACGGCTGAAATGTGAAAAAAAGTTCATTTTGGCGGGAACCATTACGTTCCATTGTGGCGAGGGCCAATGACATGAGTTCACTCTGCCCATACAAATCGTTTGAAACAGTGTTTTTGAGACTGGTTTCATCCTCACATGAAACTCCTCATTCAAGTTGGGACAGGGGTCACTATTTTGCATGCGGGCTTTAACACATTTCACTGCATACTGTCAAGAATGAAAGTGTTGTGTTATTGATGAGGGTTGGGGTACATATAGAAAACCCTAACATTTGTACCCCCTAACACAAACCTCACTACAGGCTACAACATTTGACACACCCCCATAGCCTAAGTGAGGGGTGCCAAGCAAAACCAAAAGTGTACGGTCACAAGACCAGTCACAAAGAAACAAAGCTCAGGGTGGATCACAACGTCACCACACAATCTGAACACAAGCAACACGGGCCACAAGGCCAGTCCAAGAGTTCACAAAGGTGTATGGCAAGAGTACAAGCAAAGCAAACAGTAAACTCAAGCCTGCACACGACTAGAACTTGTGTCAACAAGACCTAACTGCACACAACACCTCTGGTGGTCACAAGGCGGAAGCGCCTTGGTAAAGATGCCTGCAGTGTTGGCCTCTGACTCCACAAATTCGAAGCGAGCCTGTCCACGTCTCTGCAACTCACGCAGAAGAAAGTACCTGACGTTAATGTGCTTCATTCTGTCAGAATCTAGCAGCAGGAATGGTTGAACTATGGAAAAGTTGGGTACAAATATGAAACCCTAAAGTGGGCTGTACCCTATATTGGCTACCCCACTACAGCCTAAGCATGTATAGCAGATATAACATTTGACACATCCCCATAGGCAAAGTGGGGGAGAACAAGGGGTCACAAGACCAGTCAAGAGAAGCAAAGCAAGCTCAGGGTGGATCACAACGTCACCACACACACTGAGTACAAGCAGAGGGCAACAAGGCCAGTTCACATGCAGAGGTATATATGCAACAATAACAACATAGTGATCTCTACCTAGCAGAGTAAGGATGCAGGTATATATATAGATCACAGTACAAGAAAAGTCTATAGCAAGTGAGGAAACGTGGGCACAAGGCCTAACAAAGTGCAGAAACGCTGATGATCACCAGACGGAAGTGCCTTGGTGAATATATCAGCAGTGTTGGCCCGAGTGGCCACGTAAGCAAGACGAAGCTGACCACGCTGCTGCAACTCTCGAGCCAGGAAGTAACGCAGAGCGATGTGCTTCGTTCTGTGCTCCAGTCTGTGCTCCTGACACAAGGCAATGGCGGCCTTGTTGTCGACGTACAGCACTGGAGGAGAATGAGGCCGCTCTCCCAAGTCGGTCAGCAGGTAGGTGAGCCAGCGCAACTCCTGTGCAGCCATGGCTGTGGCGTAGATCTCAGCCTCACAACTGGAGCTGAGAACAGAAGACGAGCATGTAGAACGCCAAGAAACTGAACCAGAACCAAGGCTGAAGGTGTAACCCTGTGACGACCGCTGCGTAGCCTGGTCATCAACCCAAGAAGCGTCTGTGTGCCCAGTGAGGACAACTGCGCTCCGCCCTCCAAGAACGAGCCCCATGCCCGATGTACCGCACAAGTAGCGCAGTACCATCTTCGCAGCATCCATGTGCACCTTTCGGTGCCGACCAGGAGCCACGTAGCGAGCCAGAAGGCCAAGAGGGTACGCAAGGTCAGGTCGAGTGCAGGTCATCAGGTACATGAGGCAGCCCACTAGCTCTGGATACGGGCCACTCGGCTCTACGGACTCGTCCGAAGGTGGAGCTGAGAGCGAGTGGCCTGTAGCCAGAGGAGTGTGCTGTGGCGAGGACCAGGTGAAGCCGAAGCGCTGAAGGACCTGCTGCACCATGTGTGACTGAGTCAGTGTGATGGTGCGGCGTGCTCTGTCCCGGGTGATCTGCAAGCCAATGTAGCTGCGCAGTTCACCCAGGTCTGTGTACGTGTGTCTCTTCTGCAGCTCCGACTTCACCAGGGCGAGAGCCACAGTGTCAGCAGTGGCAAAGACCAAGTCGTCGACGTACACGAGGATGTAGAACGGCGGCAGCGACGTGTCGGTGCGCAGAAACAGCGACGGGTCAGCAGTCGACGGAGCAAACCCAAGAGCCGCAAGTGTAGTCCTAAGTGTGTCGTGCCACTCACGTGGTGCCTGGCGGAGACCGTAGACTGGCCGCCGGAGGCTCCACTTGGTACCAGGAGGGAACGACCCAGTGAAGCCAGGAGGGCGGCGCAGCCATATCTCCTCGTGCAGGCTGCCCTGTAAGAAAGCTGTGCTGAAGTCAGTGAGAAGGTCATCTTCGGGGTGGGGGAGAAGGTCTGAAAGAAGTTAACTCCCTCTCGCTGACTGAAACATCGAGCAACGTAACGAGCCTTGAAGACAGGCGAAGAACCTGGCGGCCGCTTCACCCTGAAAATCCACATGCCACTGACGATGTTCGCCTCAGGAGGGGGAAACTCGTCAACGTAAGTGCCTGTGGACTTCCAGGATGCCATCTCTGCGTCCATGGCTGTCTGCCACTGAGAGGAGTACTCACCCGCGATCGCCTCAGCGTAAGAGCGCGGGGTCGGGATGTCTGGAGCATCCGGGTCTCCCTCAGGGGCAAGCAACATGGACACGAGGTGAGGCGCAGCGGCTGCAAGACACTCAAGGTCCTCCTGCCTGTCGTCAAGGAAGTCCGTGCCAAGAGCACACTCACCCCCGACGGACGGAGGACAGACAGACTCAGAATCAGCAACAAGACTAGCGGCGTAGTCTAGACGACATGCAGCAGCAAAGTCAACAAGCTCAGCAACAAAGGCAGAAGCAGCAGCAGAATCAAACGACGGGTCAGTGACAACTATGGCTAGCAGACGCGTGATAGTAGGGTGAGCAGCACGGGTGCGGTCAGACTCAGGCTCAGGAACGGTAGGCAAAGAAGACGCAGGAGGGGACGGCAGGGGGACACGCTGCGGAGGAGAGGAAGGATGACGAACGACGAGGTGGGTGCCGGGGACAGTCGGCTGACACGAACGAGGAACACGACCACCGGAACTACTAGAACGGACAGGCGAGACAGGACGCGACGCAGGCTCACGACGCCAGTAAAACCCCCTGTCTGCTCAGTGTAAGGAGAAGGAGCAGGCAGCGGTGAGCCAGGCTGTAATGGAAGACCAGTAGACGAAGGGAGACTAAGAACCTGGCGAAGCACAGAGTCAGGCGGCGGCTGAGACGACGGAGACGGTGGAGCGAAGAACAGGCGCGGTTGTGCAGTGCCACCAGCACCAGCAGCTCGAGCACCCCCAGCAGCTCCAGTACCTCCAGCAGCTCCAGAACCCTCAGCGCCAGCTCCTCCAGGACCAGCTCCACCAGCAGCAGCACCCCCAGAACCAGCACCTCCAGTCCCAGGGTCTCCAGCCGCAGTGTCTCCAGCAGCAGCACCCCTAGACCCAGGGTCTCCAGCAGCAGCACCCTCAGGCTCAACAGCACCTCCAGCCCCAGTAGCTCCAGTACCTCCAGTACGAGCACCTCCGGGACCAGCACCACTCCCAGCTCCAGTGACGACAGCAGAAACACCTCCAGCGGCAGAGCCCCGAGCTCCAGAAGCGCGACCCTGACGGCGACCGTACCAGTCGTGCAACTGCTGGGAGGTGAGAGGCACACGCGGACGAAGGCGGCTACTCCAGGGAGACCGCGCAACAGCAGACTCACAACCCTCAGCGCCAGCACCCGCAGCAGCTCCAGAACCTCCAGCGTCAGCACCCGCAGTAGCTCCAGAACCTCCAGCGCCAGCACCCGCAGCAGCTCCAGAAACTCCAGCGCCAGCACCCGCAGCAGCTCCAGAACCTCCAGCGCCAGCACCCGCAGCAGCTCCAGAACCTCCAGCGCCAGCACCCGCAGCAGCTCCAGAACCTCCAGCGCCAGCACCCGCAGCAGCTCCAGAACCTCCAGCGCCAGCACCCTTAACAGCTCCAGAACCTCCAGGCTCAGCACCCCCAGGCTCCGCACCCCCAAGCTCAGCACCCCCAGGCTCCGCACCCCCAGACTCAGCACCCCCAGAAACAACACCCCAAGCAGGACCACCCTCAGCAGGACCTGAGTCACCAGTGACCTCAACCGGCACAGTCAAGAGAGGAGGGTCTACCTGAGACACACC